CATAGGAGCAGTATTATCCCAAGAAGGCCACCCTGTGTCATATTTTAGTGAGAAGTTGAACGACACCCGAAGGAGATATTCAACTTATGACAAAGAGTTTTACGCTCTTGTACGATCTCTTGAGCATTGGAGGCATTATTTGATTAGCAAGGAGTTTATACTCCATTCTGATCATGAAGCGCTGAAGTACATCCAAGGGCAGCATAAACTCCGACCCCGTCACGCCAAATGGGTCGAATTCATCCAAACCTTCACCTTCTCCATAAAACACAAGAGCGGAACCCTGAACAAAGGCGCTGACGCCTTATCCCGGCGACATTTATTACTAACGGTACTTAGTACCAAACTTGTTGGCTTTGAAATGTTGCAGGGATTGTACAAAGATGATGAAGATTTCAAGGAGGCATACCATAAGTGTCTCACACGGCCCTCTGGTAACTTCCTCATTAAAAACGGTTTTCTGTTTCGTGGCAACCAACTATGTATCCCTAAATGTAGTTTGCGCGAAACAATAATCGAGGAACTTCATGGCGGTTCTTTGGCTGGTCATTTCGGAATGGATAAAACTTATATGATGCTTCAAGAGCATTATTACTGGCCAAAGATGGAAAGAGACACCGAACATTTCATTCGGCGTTGTACTACTTGTCAACTTGCCAAAAGCCACTCCAAAGCCACACAAGGAATGCATATGCCGCTGCCCGTCCCACAAGCTCCCTGGGAAGACGTGAGTCTAGATTTCATCACCGGTTTACCACGAACGCAGCGAGGAAAGGATTCAATCATGGTGGTGGTTGATCGATTTTCAAAGATGGCACACTTTGTTCCGTGCCTAACAACTCATGATGCTTCACAAATTGCAGATTTATACTTTAGGGATATTGTCAAACTTCATGGCATTCCCCGAAGCATGGTTTCCAATCGAGACAGCAAATTCTTAAGTCATTTTTGGATGACTTTGTGGAGAATAATGGGTACTAAACTCAAGTTTAGTACATCAAGCCACCCGCAAACCGATGGCCAGACGGAAGTAACAAACCGAACACTTGGTACCATCCTTCGTGCCATCATCAAGAAGAACATCAAACAGTGGGAAGAATTGCTTCCTCATGCCGAATTTGCTTAGAACCGCAGTCCAAGCAAAACAACAGGCGTTTCACCATTTGTTACTGTTTATGGTGTTAATCCCCTTACCCCACTTGATCTTAATCCAATTTTAACAGATACAAAGTACAGTTGGGAATCGGAGAAACGAGCACAGGAGATACAAAATATTCACAACAAGGTCCGTGCAAAAATTGAGAAAATGAATGAGCGTGTCAGTGAAAAGATCAACAAGCGATGCAAGAATATGGATTTCCAGCCTGGAGATCTTGCGTGGATCCACCTTAGAAAAGAGCGTTTTCCCTCAAAACGCAAGTCCAAGTTACTGCCCCGAGGAGATGGTCCGTTCGAAGTTTTAGCTAAGGTCAACGACAACGCATACAAGATAGACCTACCTGGAGACTATGGAGTTTCAGCCACGTTCAATGTCACGGATCTCAGCCCGTACTTTGAACCCGAAGATATTCCGAGTTTGAGGTCAAACTCTTCTGAAGAAGGGGAGGATGATGTACCCCG